TTCATTTGTAGCTTTCGATGACTGGGCCAGTTTTGCTGACCCATCAACCTTCCTTGAAGCAATGGATTTTGGAGTACCTAGCATGGTGTAGAGCAAACAAATGGCTTGACAGGTCAGCAGGGGCAGACAAACACGCCAGCTACGTTTATGATGTGGGTCACTGGGGCTTCGCCACGATATAAGAACCGCCTTGTCGCACGACATACATTCCCCTCCGGTACCGCAGCAGACATAAGCCTTTAGAAGATGGAGAATCGTCGACTTCTTCCTGATGCCGCCGTCATTTCGACAATCTTCCCTGACTCGCAACCAACTTCAACCGATATACTGGCCAACTCCTTCACCAACTGCACATTCAAGGCAGAATTTGAAAACAGTCCCGCTGTTATCGTCCGGATTGACGCGTCAATTGGGTCACTCGCCATCGTTTCTGCTATTCAAGAGGCAGCCCGTATCCAAATTCCAACATATGTTCCCAAACAACTCGCTTTGGGGGAGGCAGTAACGGGAGACAAAAAGAATGTGGATTACACGGTTACTAAGTTCGTAACTGACACTGTGACTCTGGAATCTGCTTGGCCATCCCTTGATCTCGCGCAAAAGTCGTTCTTGGTCGATGATCTTGTCAATGCTATGGATACACTTCAAGACGCCAGAGAGCCACTTACACTCGCTCGATCGCTTATCCCCGATACAAGTCCGGTAGATGTTGTTCAAGCTTTTGAATTCGGCAGCGCAAGAATTGGTTTCGCTAAGGATATTCGCGGGTTCCTCACGTTATTTGTCGCTAAGCATCAAGACACAAACCGTGCTACTTCCAGCATAGAGGTGTCCTTAGACGGAGACGGTGTTATCATCAAATCCGCGTTACCAGCATTAGGTGAAATCCATCTTTCAGATCAGGATCTAAAAACCCTCAACGGAAACGTGGTTTTCTCACACAACGACCTGGAACCACGAAACCTGCTTGTAAGAAGATGGCAAGTCCAAGATGGCCTGCTGTACGAACTCGCTGCTATTATTGATTGGGAGATGGCGGGATTCTTCCCTTCAGCATTCGAAACAGCTATCAAAGACATCTCACTAGGTAACTGCAACCAGCACTTGGACTTTTATCTCATGTTTAAAAAGAAGACACGCCATATGATATCAGGCGGAGAAGCTACCGAGAAGCTGGTCAAAGCCGTGCATCTCATCGCTGAGTCCAGCGCCAGGCAGAACACCGGTGTTAGTGCGGAGATTCGTCGCCGGTGGCTTATGAGGGAGAATTTGGAGCAAAGTGACAATGCGCTAGCAGGTTGGATACCCAAGACTGTTGGGGATAGTATGGAGCGACCTTCGCGTCCTTTTTCAAAGGAAGATAACGATGAGCTTACACAACAGGTACTGAAGGATCTTGGGAGGCAATGAGAAACATGAGAAAGCACATCAGAGAGTCAGGCAGCTATATTTAGAACCAGTGGAATACCACCCCAGGCTTTTGACATCCAAATCAGATATAGCGCCCGTCCAGAATGTGCCATGGCATTTGGTCAATTCCTTGAATCGCAGCTGTTAGTTGCCAATCACTTATTGTCCGTGATCATTACGCTTTATTGATAGCCGCTGACTTCAGTAAGGTTTGAAGTATTTCGTCGGATTCCAAGATGTCTGAAAGCGACATGGAAGTCCTTACATGTACTGTGAAGTATAAAAGGCATCGGTCTGCTCCTCGGATCAGGCTGCGTAACGAGTGGAGGTTTATTAATGCTACAATAAGATAATCGAAAATATGAAATAGAGTTCACTCTACGTTCTCTCTAGACGCGTCCTGGTCTTTTTCCCTACCACCGATGAAGAGCGCCGCCAAAACTGCAGTGAAAGCGCATATACCAGCGAGCACGGCATTCATGTTGCCATATCCAATCTTGTCTCGTAGATACCCAGCCAGCAGTGGACCTACAGTCAGCCCGCCACTCCACACCATACTGTTGATGCCGTAGAGTTGGGCGAAAGGAGCCTGCTCGAACATGTCTGTGTTCGCCTTGTAGTAATTCTCTACGATGGTCCCAGATTCTACGATGCTAGGACTGTTGATGACCGCCAGACCGAGTCCGTTCATCGCTAACAATGCAGAATAGAGTGCGATGATGTGACCGTTGTCCAATCTCTCGATGATACTTAGTTCAGTCGGGAGTCGGAGTAATACAAGCGTTGGTATTAACCAGATGAATCCAAAGACTGATACCGGCTTTGTGCCATAGTGATCGACACACCAGCCAAAGACGGGACCCAGCAGGAAATCCGCACCACCCAGTGGTAGGAAGAGTAATCCAGCTTTGAGACTGTCAAAACCTAGTTGCTCCGAAGCTACCAACGGCACAGTAGCGTCGAAGGAACCAAGAAGAAGAGCTTGAACAAATCCAATCCACACGGAGGTTAGCAGACCAGGATGGCGAAATAGCATGAGGATGGGTAGATTGCGGGTGAAGCGATTTGTTGGTTTGGAAAGGCGGTACCGATCGAGCGTAAAGGAACCGTTTGGTAAAAGAGGTGTTTGTTCCGTGTCTTGTTGGTCGTTGCTCCGATCCGGTTCAGAGGTATGTGTCTCAGGAATAGAATATTTCTCAGCCACCTTCTTCTCCACCATGAGCAGCCTTAAGATGAAGTCTATGCCAATCAACCCTATGGCCACGCCAAAGACACCTATGTATCCAGTCTTCGCGTACAATGAACCGCCAACAATAGGTGCGACAAGCGTGGAAACCGATATGAAGCTGAAGATAGTTCCCATAGTCTTGCCCAAGTTTTCGCGGCCTACAGTCTCAACCAAGATAGCGAGGCCGATGGTCCACACCACACCTCCCGATGCTCCCTGGAGAAATCGTGCAATGGCCAGAACGGCAACGCTACGCCCGAGAGCGAGAAGAATGGTCGAAAGTAGACATAGGATTAACCCGAGGAGGAAAGGTAGCTTTCGAGACGAAAACAATCTGTCAGCGAGGAAGCCTGCGATGGGTGAAGATATGCAGGAAGCTGCTGCGTAGACTGCTAGGAGGTTCGATATCGTGCTTTGGATCTGGGGGTCAGGGAGATCGATGCGGTCTTTCAACAGGAACGGCAGTACTGGTACGATGAGCCCGTACAAGAAAAGGTCCACGAACGCACCCATTCCCACAGTGAAGACTATGAACAATGGATGCGACCGCCATCGTATCCCTGGTGGTGGCATTGCAAAGATAGTATAAAAATCAACGACGCGACGAGATGCAAAATTGATGTTTGTCAGTTCTGGAAAGGCTTCTGAGAAAAGTTTCCGCACGAGCCTCATCAGCTCAGACGCGTGCTGACGTCAGTACTCATGATGAAGGATGTAAGCGCCTTTTCTAAGTGCATCAGTGATCGGTAGGGAGAATTGGTAGCTGTCAGCAGTAAAAGAACAACGCGCTCTATGCATTATGTGGGGTGGCTCAAATCATGCTCCTTCGGTCGTCCATACCACTCTTTCGATTTGTGAGAGGCAATAATGCTTCCAAATACTTGGTCACAAGTAGTGATAGCTTTCGCAAATCTCGAAAAGTCGACGATATGTCGAACGTCGACCCATGAGCAGCCCCTGTCTGCAGGTGCAGAACTCCTCAGGGCCTGGTGTTCGTCGTCACGTGCGGACGCAGCCTAGCGTGCTTGGCGCGGATCTCGAATTCGAGCTCCCGACAGCTTCGTCGGGTAAGTGAGACCACGCCATACAACTCCACTACCCACACAACAGTCGCTTCAAGATGGCGGACAAGATGGAGGGCGTAGTAATGGGCGGCGGTCTCGTAGACCCCAGCAAATACCCAGTGCCCATCGAAACGTAAGTGCAAGATCATGCCTAAAAGGTAGGTCCCCTTGATGCTAATCGAGAAATATAGTATATACGTGAGTTGGACCACGAGCGCGCCAGCAACGCACTCACATTGCACTCGGTGGCGCGATTGCTGACAGCACTAGGTCAACAACCTCGAGGAGCGCGTCAAGATCGATACCATGAAGCAAGCGTTGACACGGGTCTTCCAATACTACGGTCCGATCCTGGATGTTATCGCAAAGAGCAGTCTGAAGCGCAAGGGCCAGGCATTCATTGTCTTTGACAGCGAGAAGGCTGCGCTGGAGGCGGTGGAGGAAATGAACGGCTTCGAGATGTACGGCAAGGTCATGAAGGTTCACAGGGCGAAGACACACAGCGACGAGACAGTCAAGCGAAAGGCGCCAGAACTGTTCGACGATCACAAGCGGAAGCGCCTGACGCTTAGGGGTGCGCATCTCCTACCACTCCTGAAAATGCTCCATACTGACTGCCATAGACTTCAAGCGCGCCGAAGAAGACGCGAAAGCGCAAGCCAACCCAGTCGCCGCCGAGAAGCCTCGCGCAGCCAAAACCGGAGCAGCCGCTGTTCCCGACGAATACGTACGACCCAACAAGACGCTCTTCCTGCAGAACATCCCCCGCGATGTCGACGAGGACGACCTTACGACGATTTTCGAGCGTTTCGAAGGCTTCAAGGAAGTGCGCTTGGTCTCGGTCAGAGCTGTGGCCTTTGCGGAGTTCGAGAACGAGCAGTTTGCGATTACAGCGAAAGAATCGACGGCCAACACCCCGATCGGCGCAGAGGGCAAGCCTATGAAAGTCACCTACCAGCGGCAACAGTAGGTTACTGCGTATGGATTATTGCTATGGATTTATGCATTTTATGATACCTTGTTCGGCACAGATACAGGCCGGCACAATAGAGTCTTATTATCAAAAGGCCAACGTTCACATTAAATGGCACAATGCTTATCTCTTATTTAGCTTGGTCGATAACGCCCCGCGCGGGATGCCAGACGGAACCTGGACTACGGACTCCATATCTGCATTCTGGAAGGTGCATGTCTACATGCGAGACGTTGGCGAGCGAGAGCTGGCGAGGTGGATGGAGCGCCCAATGGGCCGCAGACGACACTACACGGACAGGCCCTACTAGTCGCTTGTAGAGCGCTCAGAAGATGACATCTTCGTTGTCCTCGTCGCCCAGCATGTCCTTGCTCTCGGCAGCATCTTCTCGCGCCTCACTCTCCGTCTCCTCGTTCTTCTTCTTCGCCGCCACCCTTGCGGCTTCCTCCTCGGCAGCATCTTTCTGCTTCTTGTTGGACACTTTCTTCAGGCGGTAGAACTCCTCTCGGTCGAGCTCGTCAAGCTCAGAGTTGATGTATTTAATGGTGTTTTCGGTTCGGGGGATGATGACGTGCTCACTATTGGCTATTAGTTTCGGCAGTTGTCTGGAAGGAAAGGATACCCACATGGCGTTTACACGGCGGTTGACCACCTTGATAACTTCGTCCAATATGACAAAGGCAGTCTGTAGACTAGCCAGTTCCACCAAAGTCTCGACCGCTCTTGCGTACGTCTCTCTGCATCTTTGTACTTGCTGACCACCCTTGCCCAAACCCGTCAGGGCGAAGTCGTTGTTCTGCTCGACAGTGAAGCTTTCGAACTGCGGGAGGAAGACACCGGAGACGTTCTCTTGTTTCGTCCGTACGCGGAAGCGGGCTTGCTTTGCGGATTCTTGAATCTGATAGCCAATGTCACCACCAACGGCGTAGGTAACTTCGGCGAGGGAGAAAGCAGCGACCTGCATGACCCTGCCCATCTTGCGCTTGGCCTCATCGATACGGCGCGTTATTTCTGGAAACGGTTTCAGTTACAAGGGCAGATGGTGGGGTGTATATAGCGTAGTCGTACCTCGGAAGCGCCTGCATATGGTCAGCAAAGCTTCACGAGTGGACTGCAGACGGCGAGTGCATACTTGGTCAAGGCTTCACTCTTTCGCTTCAGCAGGTCGTGGCCGGTCTGGGCGCCCTTGAGCTTGCCCTTCATCAGACCCAGCGACTGCCGCGTCGCGAAGACGGCCTCTCTTGCCTGAGGGTCGTGTTAGCATCAGATGTCCTAGGCATTGCATAGCTCGGGCTGGCGTACCCCGCTGCCAGACATGTTTGCGGCTCGAACAGTTGGTGGAGAAGGCTATGGGGCTGAAACCGAGGGTATAAGCTGACAGTGGCCGGAGATATTCTGGTAGGTGTCTCGGAGCCAGTCAGCGTGCGCAGTGCGGCCAGGTGAATCCAGCGGAACGTGACGCAGCTAGGCTGGGGAGCTATGGGACCCGTTAGTGCGCGCGCGCCTGCCAACTATGAGAAGCGGGTCTCGGAATACACGTTGCTTATTGGCTGCAGGAGACGGCTGACCGCTCGGACTTCCATCGCTCTTTCCTCAGAACTTTAACACTTCGACACGCTCCCGTCAGCCGTCCAGCACCGCACCCCATCGCCCTCCTGCCCACCGCGGGCAACACACGCCCTGGCTCTGGCGCAATCATGCCCGGCGAACTCCTCAGGACCGTCACCGCGAGCCTCTCGCGGCCCACCAAGCGGAAGATGGAGCCCTCGGCGGACCTTTTCCTCATCACCGACCAGGACGTCGCGTACGAGCAGGACATCCAGCGCAACGCCGGCAGCGTGAAGCCCTGGCTCGACTACTACAGCTTCAAGAAGTCACGTGGGAGCATCTTGGAGCAGGCTTTTGTGCTCGAGCGCGCCGTCACGACGCTCCCGCGCTCGTACAAGCTGTGGAAGCTGTACCTCGAGCTGCGCACCAAGCACCTCTCAAAGAAGAACCCGGCCAAGTTCGCGCCCCACTATGTCAAGGTCAACGCCCTCTTCGAACGCGCTCTCGTCCTGCTCAACAAGATGCCGCGCATCTGGGAGATGTACCTCAACTTCCTCATGCAGCAGCCCCTCGTCACCACTACCCGCCGCACGTTTGACCGAGCCCTACGCGCCCTGCCTCTGACTCAGCACAACCGCATATGGGCCCTCTACCGACCTTTCGCGACGTCTGCGTCAGGCGAGACGGCCGTCAAGATCTGGCGCCGCTACATGCAAATCCACCCCGAAGATGCCGAGGACTTCATCGAGCTGTTGAAGGACATGCGCAAGTACACCGAGGCCGTCAAGAAGTACATGGAAATTCTCAACAACCCGCGCTTCAAGAGCAAGGAGGCAAAGGGACCCTTCCAGTTCTGGACCGAGATGATCGATCTGATGATTGACCACGCCAAGGAAATCGACACCAGCGACGACAGCGGCATCGACGTGGAGAAGATCATCCAGAGCGGCATCTCCAAGTTCCCCGATCAGCGAGGCATACTCTGGGTCGGCCTGGCGCGGTACTGGATGCACAGGGGCGAATACGAGAAAGCGCGCGACGTCTTCGAGGAGGCTGTCACCACAGTCATGACTGTGCGCGACTTCTCCATCGTCTTTGACACGTATGTGGAGGCTGAGGAGGCCATGATCGGAATCAAGCTCAATGAGGCCGCTGTTCGGTCGGAGAAGGGCAAGATCGACGAGGCTGCTGACGCGGACCTTGACATCCGGATGGTCCGCTTCGAGTCCCTCATGCAAAGACGGCCCTTCCTGCTGAACGATGTCATGCTTCGACAGAACCCGCACAATGTCATCGAATGGGAGAAGCGCGTCGCTCTGTGGGGTGACAACAAGAAAGAGGTGGTCCAGACCTACACCGACGCCATCGCGGCAATCAATCCCAAGAAGGCACTCGGCAAATTCCACGAGCTCTGGGCCAACTATGCCAAACTGTACGAATCCGGTGGCGATCTTAAGAATGCCCGTGTCATCATGGAGAAGGCCGTCAAGGTGCCCTTCAAGTCAGTCTCCGAGTTGGCTGAGATGTGGTGCGAATGGGCCGAGATGGAGCTTCGCAACGAAAACTTCGACAAGGCCGTGGACATCATGGCCAAGGCTACGCAAGCCCCTAAGCGGTCGAATGTCGACTACTTCGATGAGTCTCTGTCGCCACAACAGCGCGTGCACAAGAGCTGGAAGTTGTGGAGCTTCTACGTCGATCTTGTCGAGAGTGTCAGCACCCTGGAGGAGACAAAGAAGGTTTACGAAAGAATCTTCGAGCTTCGCATCGCAACACCGCAAACCATCGTCAACTACGCGAACCTGCTGGAGGAGAACAAGTACTACGAAGACTGCTTCAAGGTCTATGAGCGCGGCCTCGACCTCTTCAGCTACCCTGTCGCTTTCGAGATCTGGAACTTGTACCTCACCAAGGCTGTGGACCGCAAGATTGGCATGGAGCGATTGCGCGACCTGTTCGAACAGGCCGTGGAAGACTGCCCACCGAAGTTTGCCAAGGTACTATACTTGATGTATGGTGCACTTGAAGAGGACCGCGGATTAGCCAGGCATGCCATGCGCATCTACGAACGCGCCACACGCGCCGTGGCAGATGAAGACAGGCTGGAGATGTTCAACTTCTACATCACCAAGTCAGCTTCCAACTTTGGTCTCACCTCTACGCGACCAATCTACGAGCGCGCAATTGCTGCCTTACCTGATGGCGAAGCCAAGGAGATGTGCCTCAAGTTTGCCGAGATGGAACGTCGCTTGGGAGAAATCGACCGAGCCCGAGCAATCTATGGCCACGCCAGTCAGTTCTGCGACCCAAGAACAAGCCCTGAGTTCTGGAAGAAGTGGGAGTCATTCGAAGTCCAGCATGGTAATGAAGACACCTACAAGGAGATGCTACGCATCAAGCGCAGTGTCCAGGCTCAGTACAATACCGACGTCAACTTTATCGCCTCCCAGGCTGTCGCTCGTGGTCAACAGAACGGTACACCCGCCGACGAAGACGGCGATGCTACCGATGCTGCTGGTGAGGACGCAATGGCCGCTCTCGAGCGCCAAGCACGCGCACCAGCTGGTTTCGTCGCCGCCAGTACCGGTCCTCAAGGTGGCAACATCAAGCCTACCGAAGAGGCAGCCGCAAACCCCGATGCGATCGATCTGGACGACGACGACCTATGATTCACGAACCAAGGTTCCTTCAAATGAGGGCACCTTTAGGGTATACAATTAGGTCAAGGGTGGGTGGATTAGGATGAAAGACTTGCATTTACACTGGCGTTATTTGAGAAAGGTGACAACAACACACCTGGCTATCTTCGCAGGCTACCATGCTACTCCGGAACATTTCATAAGTTTGCGTGTACATTTGGGTTGACCCAGTGCGGTCTCCCTTGCTTCGACCTCCACCAATTTGAGGTTTCGACAGTCTGATCTTTGTGTTTTACTCGACTTCGATCGATACCTTGACAACTTGTCTCAACCCTTTTCCGTTCTTGCATCTACGGCGTTCTTTTACTTTGTGAGGGATTCCGCGCGAACGATGTCAGTGGCATCTTGCTCTGGAGAAAGCCCCTGGTGGATGGGCCGATTTCTTTTGTCGAGTGGTCAAACAAACTGTATGTTCTTGGCAACATCTTTCCAGCTTCATCATGTCATATAAAACATCTAGCCAAAAACAAACACTATTCACTCCGCAATCGATGCCTTCGCTTCTACCGTGACGTATGAGACATTCACACGATTGTCTTCACAAGCCTTGAAACCACTTGATCGCATGGAGCCTATTTGATTTCGCCTTGTAATACAATTGTACCGCATGTACGGACCTCCGATACTGCAATCCCTGTGTCTTACGTCCCAGGAGTCGGATACTTCTCCTCCGTGAGGAAAGAAGTGGGGATATATCCACGTGCTTTGCCACGCACCTTCTCCTCCGCTTAGCCAAGACTGTAAGGAGTAGGAAGGAGCAGCCAAAGCGTTTGTCATGATCTGAAGCAGTTGCACAGGATCATGCCCGCACAGTGCATTTTGAGCAACCACGACCCGATACTGGAGTCGATCTTGTGTACGATTATATGACAGTATGAGTTTCGTGCTCAGTCAATGACAAAAAAATCGTGATCGATTGGATGTTGCATCCATTCTCACGTACCCAATACTTCCGTTTCTGAACTGGAAGTCTGCTCTGGTGTCGTTCTGACCGCCCCCTTCTTTCTGCTCGTGTCTACACCTTTGCTTCGTCGGGTTAGATTCATGCCCGGGCTTTGTTCGTTGCTTTTAGCATCGTTTTCCCGGAAGGAAGGAGGGGGAAGTGGCAGTGGTGACTTGTGATAGGGAAAGAGCGTTGGGACGCGTGGCATGCTGACATCGAACGCGCACGCATCATGGGGTCCGTTGTGGACAACAGTAGAATGCGACGTTAAATCGTAAGGTTTTTGGTTGTCTAGTCTTACATGTTCAGTGAACCGCACTCAGGCTACGCGGCTGCGGGATTTAGGTTTCAGAGTCTCGCGGTGCAGTAATCGCAGGAGTCGTCGACTGGGCGCGAGATTTTCATGTGAAGACGTGCTCCATCAACTTGGAAAGATGTATCACAAGGGTAGAGATAGTGATTTGTGGAAGAAATACCTTGGTAAGAGAACCACGCTTTGTTTCGTCTTGAAAAGTGGGACTAGGGTTCCCCCATTGCTGCTCATTAATCAAAATTCGTTGCGTGCTACCTACTACTCGTGGCTTCACGCATACTCATGCAGTGGTTGATAGCACCATTTACTGCTCATGTCGTGATGGCTCCATCCCGAACCTGTATCGTCGGCAGTTGAAGCCCAACATGTTGTTGACTTCTACCAAACTTTGCACTAAACTTTCTCTACCTTCAGGCAGAAGGGCGAGTGAGTCCCTCTACGTGTTCACCGTGATGAAGGTCTATCCCAGTACCAGGTCGAACACATGAATATGCCCCTTTAAGTAACCAGGCCCATCCTCGTCGATGGCTGGGTGTCACCTGTCACTACCTTAACAAGCCCTCGTACTCTTATTGTGATTTAATCAATCTCATAGAGTTCTTACTGTGCGACAACTGGTGGCACTGGTGGCACGGCATCCGGCAACCTGTGGCACGATCCGCGATATGAAACAGCCTGACAGCCGTGTGCCACCACGTCAAAGTATGACGAGGATGCGCTGGTGTGGAGATGAGTTAATCAGCAGGCTGGGCCCCATCGTGGCCTTCTCGGCTTCAGCCGCATAGCGTGCACTGAGCTGTTCGCCCTGACGATCAAAAGAACGATATGTGGTGGTGTGGTGATGTTTCGAATGGCACGGTGCTGATTGTGGCCCTGTCAAGATAGGTGGCGTTGCTGGCGCGTCCTGAAATGGATTGGTAGACGTCGCCGAGTTATGGGTCCGCTTCAACTTGCTCACCACCATTGCACGAAGTGTTCAGGCACGAGATGACGAGAAATTTGACAGAAGTATGTCGTGATGAAGTCGAGATGTTGGGCTTTGAGGTATCGCAGAATATGTTGTGCGCAAGACGCAGCTGCCCAGCAATTCCTGTTTCAGAAGTGTTACAGACGCGAGGAGAGAAGTAGACACCTCAACCGCTTTCCGTGATGCGTTCCGTAGACATTCCATTGCCATCATGAGTTGTATGCGGGTTCTGATTCTGTCGTTCGCGACATGCGCAGTTGGGTTGTACGCCCATGCGTCACCGCAATGCCCAAACGCGCCGCATCAATTCGCGGTCCAAGCTCAATTGCCACTCCAATTACCACATTGTCCATACACCACCGGCAATTCAGAACCATTGCCGAAAGAGACGCCCCTTCAGCACTCACCGTGGTCGCACGATCCAGCCTGTGCTCAAGGGAAGCAAAGGAAATATTGCACGTACACGACTTCCGAAACACGAGGCGGACACGCTCTGAGCATTATCGCAAGACCTGTAGCTGCAGATGTAATATCTGCAGCCTTCCTAGCTCTGGAAGGCGAACACCAGAGCTTGGATGATGGTCTCGAAGTTCGGGCCTTCCCGGGCAAGGGCAAAGGTCTGATCACCACAAAAGCTTTGAAGAAAGGAGAAACAATACTACTCGATACTGCACGTATCATCGCGAGCTCGCATTTCCCCACGCAGGTTACGCGTGCGCAAGGCCAAACACTCTTCAGTGCCGCACTTGATCGATTACCTCAGGCAGATCGGAACTCGGTGCTCGCATTAGATCAGAGTCTGGGTGGCAGCAAAGTTGAAGACATCATGAAGACCAATGCCTTCGCATGCCAGCTCGCTGATGGCGAAGTAGACGATGCTTACATGTGTCTCTTCCCTTCCGTTGCCCGGATCAATCACGCGTGTCAACCCAATGCGCACGCGCGCTTTATTCCGAAGACTCTGTCGATGGAGATCAAAGCTCAACGGGACATCGCCGCTGGGGAAGAAATCGGTATCTCGTATGGCAAAATCGACTTGAAGCACGCCGACAGACAGGCACTCTATCAGGAAGGCTGGAACTTCAGATGCACTTGCTCTCTTTGCACTGCTTCGCAATACGACGTAGCTGGTAGTGACCAGCGCCGTGCGAGGTTCGCCCAACTGCGCAAGATGCTGGAAAACTTGACGGCAGAAACCTACGATGCCCAACAAATTGTTGCTTGGGAGAAAGAAGTCATGGAGATTAGTCAACGAGAGGGTTTGGATACTCTGCTCGCCCAGGACTATGAGAGACTGGCGTACGTGTACGCAGGTCATGGAATGATGGGAGATGCCAGACGTTGGGCAAAGATGGCGAAAGAAAGTTTATTGGAATGGGTGGTGGTTGATGGAGGACCGCGCAATCAGATAAGGAGGATAGAGGAGTTGCTCAAAGAGCTGGATGGCTAAGTCAGGGTTGTCATTTCTCGGTTTGATAGCTGGGGCTGCTGGCTTGGGCTACGAAGATGCCTGAAGACGGACCGGAAAGGCTGTAAAGTTCATGGGAAATGTACCATTGCTTAGAGACTCCGCGAGTGGTCGCTGGTGCGCTGCTGGTGTCCGCGCGCGATAGCCGTGCTAGTAAGCCTGCGGTGGCTGAACGTCTACAGGGCTGAATGAAGCGTCTTGCGATCGTGACGTGGACCGTGATAGAGGATGTGATCGGGTCGGTCCATCATCGTCCATAGATCTTCATTGCAGCCTCCGAATACTCCGAACACCCCACATTGCATCCCTGATCCGTCGACCGTGCTTGAATAGACGTTGTTGCTAATGTCACCATGCCCGATCCAACCTCAAAAGGGTCCGGAAGGCTGGTCGCAAGATGACGTGAGCGCCAGATTGGGCAGTAGGCAAGTACACTGGGCGGTGGAATTTTGAGAGATGAGGCATCTGAAGACTGTGTGTTTTAATTTACAGCCGTAGTTCGTCATCACGCGGAGGCCCTGCCGGCGCCGCCAACAGGTAAAAACTCTGGATGGTGCCGCAGGCCAGGGTGCCCAGATCTGCACGCACCGGGTACAGGCGAGCTCGAGATCGTGGGCGATCCTCCAACAGTCAAAACAGGCAACGGTCGAAGAGGTCATTGCGCTGAGTAATCTCCATCGAAAAGAACCTTGGAATGATGGAGATAGACGCCACCGACGCGATGGGTTGTCTCTGGGTCGGCGAAACTGATAGCATCTGATCTATTGACCGACCGAGTGAACGATTGATGCTTGCTACCACATCCCCGCGATTGACAGCTCGGGGCGCTCGCGGCGCCGTTGTCAACGGTGATATGTCGCAGCGATGGCAAAGAGAGTTCGATGGTGGAAATGCAGGTACGTGCCGAAAAGGGGTCTGTGGTGCTGCGCTAAGCGGCTCTTGGCCTATCAGATGCTAGTCGTGGCCTACTCCGCCTCGCATCTCAAACCTTCCACCACACCTGGCGCATCATCGCCTCGACTCTTCATTTGCTACGAGCTTCCCGTCCTCTTTCACTACCTACCTCATGCGGCTAAACGCAAGCAAAAGCATTACTGAACGACCCGTTGTCAAGTGACAAAGCAAAAGCGAGGCGCGCATCAGCAAGCGCCATCTTCGCGTGCGTGGGTCTGAAAGCGCGCATCCCTTGAAGCAAGTGAAGGAGGAAGCGCCGTCGCGCCTTGACGAAATAGACTTTGTCGTCTTTGTACCACTGCTTCCAACGTCGAGGCTGTTACACTTGCCTCGAACTGCTTGTTAGCTGCGTCACCCATGCCTCCGTATACGGGTCCATGGGTCTTTCGAAGACCAGGTTTGATTGTCCAGTTTCAGATGTCGGCGGGGTCTACCCTGTAACCATCGGCTTTGCCAGCTGAAGAAGGTTGTACAGGGCTACGCCGCATAACATTGCGAATGTAGGGCTAGAGACTAAATATGGACCTGCATGTCCTGTCGACGGCATATGGGATACATTAATGCTCTAAAACATCCTTAGGTTCTCCACACATCCAGTTCGCTCATCACATATCTTCAGTTCATCGCGATCCTTTGCTTTTGCAACCAGTCACTCCTTTACTTGTTTTATACTGTCTTTTGTCTAATATGGTGTCGAGTCGGTCCCTCCTTACGGTCTTCGCGACCTTGATCGCAGTTGCTACGAGTCAGCAATGTTATGCCGTTGACGGTACAGCACTCGACAAAACATACACGCCATGCAACCCTAGCGCCAATCACAGCGGATGCTGCGCGTCCACCGACATCTGCATGAGTAATGGGTTGTGTATGGGAACAACAAACGAGTCGATTGGTATGATCTTCTCGCGAGGATGTACAGACAAGGAAGGAAAAGCTGCAGCATGCCAACAAGACTTGTGCCCTGGTGGTGAGTTCGCAAACATCAGACTCATATGTTCTCTAACTAACTCACTTTAGTATCCAACGACTTCCTTGGTCTCAAGCCAGTAAAAGCATGGCAACTGCAAACATGCGACTCCGGAACATACTGCTGCCGCGGCGCCGCCGACACGAAGAGCTGCTGCAACAACGCAGACGCACCCCAAATCACAACCACCTTCAGCGCAACCCTCCAACTCCAAACCCCGAGCCCGACCAATGAACCAACACAGGCCGCCGCGACCACTGCCCCACCTCCCAAGACCTGCTCAAAAGAAAAGAAGGAAACAGCAATAGTCGGCGGTGTTCTCACAGCTGTCTTCACTATGATCATAGTAGCCCTGGCTTCTACTATATTCTGGATGTACAAGAGGGAGAAGAGACAGCGCAAGCTGAAGGAGCACTACGAGGAGCAGTTCTCGCAAACCAACGCGTACCGCAAGGCACTGGCGTCGAGCGCCGGATCCTGCAGAGGCAGTGTCATGATGGAAGACTTGAAGCCCAAGTCCAGCCACGGTCCCGCATGAGGAGTCACACACACACAAACTCAAAAAAAAAAAAGTCTTTCGTATCGTCTTTCCACTTTAGCGTCGGTGTTTTTGCGGGTAAGGGCAGGCACGGTGATGATGGGACAGGGTAATTTTGAGCTCACGCCTGGTACCGATCCTTGGGTTTTAGCCCAATTTCCTTTGTTCATTTCGGCAGTTGCGAATACCCTTTCAGGACTCTCTTTCCTTTGTCTCGGTTTAGATATTCGGTTATGTGGTGACGAGGGTTGGGAAGGGAACAACACTTAGATGGTTGATGTAGAACACATTCTGAGATGTAATAGATATAATGCACGTACATTTTCATCCTACAATATTGCGACAAACATGTCTATCATCGCTCAACTTCACCCAACTTCCCCATGAGCAGTGCCTCGACCTTCTCTCCCTTCTTCAAGCTACCTTCGCCTTGTGGCATACAAAGCAGCGCATTCGCACCTCTGAAGCTGCCGATGCGGCTACTCCTCTGCCCGCCTGTTGAGCTGGCGTATAGCAACCCATCCTCTTTCGTCACGACAAGCGCACGATGATACTCTGGACGACCCTTATCCATCCTCACATCTTCATCCAGGATAACTCTGATCCTTGGTAGTCCGAGTGGCTTTATACCAGCTTGCTGATGCAACGCAGGCAGAACGAAGAGATGGAAACACACAACGGCTGAAGCTGGGTTGCCAGGAAGCGAGAAAATCGACTTGGTGACAGGATTCCCATCATTGTCTTTAACGGGCACGGTGGCGAAGGTAGTGGGCTTGCCAGGCTTCATGTTGACACGGCCGAAGTGGATCGTGCCGCCTAGAGAGCGCTCGATGGTTGGTTTGAGTAAGTCGAGTTCGCCCATCGAGACGCCACCAGAGGTGATGATAACGTCGCACTTGCGCATCGCGTCACGGAGACTCTGCTCAAGGGTGCCGGGTCTGGATTTAGTCAGCGACAGATGAATCGGAGATTCTTTTCCAACTTGACTTACTTATCTGAGACGATACCCAGATCAATGACTTCGAACCTATGGCTTCGTGCGGCAGTGATGAGAGTGGGACGGTTGGTATCGCGCACTTCTCCGAGTCGCAACGGGCCTTCTCTGTTGTGTGGGATGATTTCATCTCCTGTGCTCAGGACTCCCACGACAGGCTTCTTGTAGATAGACACCTCTGTCGTACCCACAGACGCAAGGAGACCAAACTCGCCACCCACGACTGTGACACCTTCGCCTTTCTTCAGGATGATCTCACCCTCTTTGACATCGCTGCCAACTTCTCGTACATTTTCGTTCGGCTTGATCTCATCAGTCAATATCTCGATCTCCTTCTCTTCCTTTCCATCATCTGTCAGGCTCTTCAATACTGTATCCTCAACCATAACCACGGCATCAGCACCGGGAGGAAGCGGGGCGCCAGTCGTAATCCTGGCAATCTCTCCTTCTTTCAACTCCTTGACTTCGCCAGGCTGTGCATGAGATATGATCGATACAGGGTAAGTTCCTTTCTCAAACTTTCCAGTCGCTGGGATCTTGACCGCGTATCCGTCCACAATGCTAGCTCGGAAGGCCGGGACAGACTCAGTGGCTTTCACATCCTCGGCAAGGACTGAGCCACTAAGTCTCATGTCTACTGGTACCTTCTGTACTGCAGCAGCTGGGGTTTGCTCTGAGATTAGCTTGAGCGCATCTTCGACAGCCAACATAGGGTACGGCGATGATCGATATCTGCGAGTTGGTCCCGCGGAAGGATCATTGGACTGGGGACGCTCTTCTGGGTTAGTGTGGGCTTTGGGTCCTGCGTGGCCGCCGTGACCATGCGAATGCCCATGATGGTGTTGATGATGATGCCCACTTCCAGTTCCTGACCTTGTCAGTTGCAGCTTTTCTGGGGGAAATATCACATCACGTACCTGCAGCAGCGCCACCCGAAGAAACACCCGCGTCCTTCTCGAGCTTCTCTACACCACCGACGTGCAGCGGTCTCGACTCTGCCCCGGCGGCTTGGATGCACGCATGCGGTAGTAACTTCAGAACTGCCTCTAGATTTTCTTTTGCACCTTTTGGCGATCCAGGCAAAGTCAATATCAGAGTCTTCTTTCGCACTCCAGCAACAGGTCTCGCCATGAGTGCAACTGATCAAATGTTAGCCTGACCATTGCCTCGGTGTTTAAGGAACTTACATGGCGTGACGGCGTATGAAGTTGTAAGCATGCCATGTCTATCATTCTGTAAGCCCTCGAATACAGAATCGGGAGAAATCACCTACACAAGTCCTGGAGCATGTCTATCAATCAACGGCGTAATTGCCTTTTTCTTATTAGCTGCGTGACCCAGGCCATTTCGAGGATAAGAGTGCGTACCTCCGGAGTGACATCCTTAGTTGCGAAACCAGTACCTCCGCTAGTGACGACCAAATTGATTGGCTCTGGGCCGTCAGTCCAAGTTTTGATAGTCTTCTGAATCGCGAGAGCGTTGTCGGGTACTATCTCGGTTTCGCTAACGTCCCATTGGTCATTTCCGAGATCTCCGAAGACCTTCTTGAGGACTGGTATGCATTTATCGGTCGATGGATCTTCGGAAGCCGTCTCAGACACTACCAAGATCGCTGCCTTCAGCTTTGAATCTGTGGTGGCCATCTTTAATGTTGTCGATGTTGAGTCGAAGCGGAGTAGAGCGGACATCCCACCCTGTGGACATCGTGCACGGGCCATTGCTTACACGCGTCGATCAGATTCACCAGTTCACTCATGAGAATCATCCAAGAACATTGGAAACAGTAATCGATAAATGGTATTTAACGCCGATGCTCGCTCATATTACATGCATTATACAAGCGCCCCTTCCTATGTACATTGTACAACCTCTGCAAATGACCTTCAGTAACCTCTTGACCAGCTCCACAAGCTGGCACTCGAAAACACTCCTCCTTGGCGTCCTTCTAGGCGGGATCGAGGCTCGATATAGTTCGTATAATTGCGCCGTAAGGCGGAATAGCGAGAACTTTCGCTCACTGGAAGTCCTTGGCGTTGCTCTGCATGAGCAGTCCAATGATGAGACCGAACAGTCCGAGAATGGCAGCGAAAATCTCGATGGTGAGGATCTTGACGAACCTATAACAAAGTTAGCATCGAAACAGAGACCCAGTAAAGACAGGTACTTGCATTGCAGGGTCCGCAGCATCGGCCAGGGCGGCGCTACTTCCGTTGATGCCCACGCATACACCGCAGATCAGGTTGCACATGCCCACGGTTATTCCAGCCCAAAACAGCGCGTATCCAGTGAAGTAGTTGGATCCGGAGTACAACAGCTCAGGGTCCGAGAGCTGGTTCATCTTGGAGGAGAAGATGATGGCCATGATGACACCGTAAATAGCGACGACTTCGCAGAAGATGATGGAGATCAAGTTCTTGGTTCGTATCCGTGGCGCTTTGACACCTCCACCGACGATGGACACACCGGTTGTCCAGATGCCCCTTTGCGATTGTCAGATGCGATGCGTGTGTGTGCCTGACATTCAGACGTACCATGCCGAGCCTACGACAGAGAGACCAATGCATAGCGCGATGCCGACACTAGCAAATGTGTATGGCGATATGCTCTCGAGGAAAGCTCCGACCTGGTATGTAATCAGCCATGTCCGTATCGGGTTGGTAGGAACGCGTGCGTACGTTGAAAGCTTCGCCTTCGTTGTTGAAGAGCATGTCTGGAGGTCGTTAGCTATCGCCTACGCCCCTGCGCGCGGTACATACACAAGCCCACCACACCGAGGGCGGCGGTCGCACCGCCCGTTCCATAAGTAAGAGACATATTGGGTTTAGTGGTCGGAGAGGCGGAGATGGATGGTGAAAGAGGCGGCTGGAGCTTCGTCGTGATGGACTCGCCGCGAAGCTGGCGATGATGCAGGCGGAACAAGCCGCGTCGCGCTAGCATCGAACGGCTTAGTAACCACCTCGGCGCGCCCCCATCACTGCTCCCGCTCAGGCGTCACCGAGACCAAACCACCAGCTCGTCGCAACTATCAGCACCATGGCCACCGACAACACCAAGTACTACGAGCTCTACCGCCGAAGCAGGTACTGCATGCCACTCTGGGGGACCGTAGCAAGGAGCGCTGGCTAACAGAGGACAGCCTGGGCGGCTCTCTCACTGACACCCTGGACAACCTCATCACCGAGCGCCGGATAGAACCCCAGCTCGCCATGAAGATCCTCCTCAACTTTGACAAGGCCGTCGCCGATGTGCTCTCAGAGAAGGTCAAGTCGCGCTTGACATTCAAGGTCAGTTGCGCACAGGCGACCAGTGAGAAGCATCGTGTGCTGACTTGAAACTCCGCAGGGACATCTCGATACCTACCGCTTCTGCGACGACGTGTGGACCTTCATTATCAAGGATATCAACTTCAAGCTGGACAACACCCATCAAGTCCATGCCGACCGCGTCAAGATCGTCTCCTGTAACGCGAAGCGTCCTGGCGAAGCCTAGGCGACTCAAAGGGCGGCCAGGTGCACTGCAACACGGCAGGAAGGAGACAATCGCGTTCAAACAAATGCGATTGCGCAAGATGCGATCTAGCGGCTGGAGCAGCTGTCTCGCTAGAGACCTGTGTCATTATATGCTTTCGGCGTTACGGCTAAAATAGCCTTGGAAGGCTTTCACGATACCTCTGGCATGAATAGGAGTTTGGGACTGAATGCGTGATTCGCGTTGGTTTAACGCTGATAAATTGGAACAATTATGATCTTTTGCACATCTGGGCTACCGTACCGTTTCTGTTATACTCAGGTGATGACTTCAGAGTGGAGTTGCAATATAGTGAACTCTTCTTGACTGGTAGTCGATAGGAGAGCTGGGCAGTAGACTGTGACTCCCAGTAGCATGCGCACTACAGAGCACCTGCCTCATATATTGCGTCAAGATGCAGCCTGCATGTACTACTACCCCATATTGACTAAGCGCGGAAGTGCACCCGGTCGTACCTTGCAGATCACCAACTTACATCCGTGAACATCGACCTCTTTCCCCGCAGCACCCCAGTTCGGCCGCAATCATGTCTCTTCCGCAAACCAAATCAGCGTGGCTGATGCTTGCCATCTCCAGTGGCGCATGTGCAGCTTTCAATGGCGTCTTCGCAAAGCTGTAGGATACCGCCGCGTCGCCCTAACCTATGCTGCATACTGACGATGATGTAGCACAACCACAGAGCTCACTGCATCCTGGTCGAGCTCCATAGCCCTAGCGATCGGGCTGAGTGCGTCAAACAAGATTGTTGAATATGCGATACGAGGGGTGCGTCCTCTCCACCTGTCATGCACTCTATTACCCGCACACAACTAACGCAACGCGCAGCTCTTCTTTGGCATGAACCTCCTCTTCAACGCGATCATGTGGGGGCTGTTCACGCGCGCCCTGACCCTTGCCTCCTCGACCGTACGCGTCAGCATCATAAACACGTCTGCGAATTTCATCGTCACCGCCGTCCTTAGCTTCATCATCTTCAGCGAGAACCTACCGGGGTTATGGTGGCTTGGGGCAGCCATGCTGGTAGCTGGCAGCGTGATTATCGGCATGAGGGAAGAGACAGAGAAGAAGAGTGTGGTAGCTACCACGGGAGAGGCCCCACTTCTCGACCGCGATGGTGACGCGAACGCGGAGGGCTTTAGGGACGACGAAGACGAAGGGGATGACACAGTCGAACTCAACAGCGTAAAGAACACAGGAGGAGACAGCAGTGACGAAGACGGCGTGTTGAAATAGACAGGACACCAATCCATTGCTGCGACTGTACAATTCGGGTCCCTCCTACTGGGTGACGACGACCAATACCGCGGTACCGCGCATGAGCTCCTATACCTCACCTTTCCGTCACCGATACATCGCTGAAAATCCCTCAACAGACCGCCCAGCAAGGGTGCGATTAGCTTGCTAACAGGGTCCAGTGCTTTCACGAACAAACGCAGCACAATCTTGGTCCATCGCCGCTTGAGCCGGCACAGTACATTTACTCGCGCCGGGAGGCACACCTTTTCACTTTTCACTTCCCACCCAGAGTGCGCGATCGGTGGGCCACAGAGTATTTCACTTTCTGGTTCGCTTGCTGCCCACTCTGCCTATATAAAACCCGGCGCACCCTTCCCCCCTCGACATAACACTCCCCAAGCAGCCCCAACTCACAGTCTTTTTACACCGACCTTTCTCGCAAAAATGTCGGACAGCCCTGTTCCCGCCCCTCTGAGCCCTACGGCTGCTGAATTCTTTCCTGGCCAGGCTGCGCATCCCAGCCCAGCCCCGAGCGAGCGCGTCTCTTCTCCTGCGACGCCGCCCCAGCATGCTTTGAACGCTCAGTTTCAGTACCAGCTGCCGCAACAGCCACAGGGACTGCCGTGGTGCAGCCCTTCCTTCTACGGGTATCAGCCATACCCCCTATACGACGGGTACACCCACTACTACAACCAAGTTCACAACCCGTTTGACATGCACGCCACCCCACCCATGCACTACGTGCAGCCTCAAGGCCCTATGTGGACTCAAACGCAGACCTCCTATATCGGATACACCGAAGGCACGCCCGACGCTTTCACAGACCAGCACCGCGAGGTCAACAGCGTACGGGCCGGTAGGATGCCCTACCAGAACCCTCACGGGGAGCACCATCAGACTGGAAACGGTGCGAACCCCAACACAGCGTACCGGAGGAGGCCTAGGAAGAATAACCGCAAGAGGTACCAGAATCGGGCGCGGGACCAGAACCAAGACCAGGACGAGGACCAGAACTACGAGCAAGACCACGAGCAACAGCAGAGACCTGGCGGCGAGGCCAGTGGAACCTATCGTCGAAGCCCTCATCGTGAATAAGACTCAAGAGTCCTGAGATTCTTACAGCGAGTTTACATGCAAGGCACGATTGTGTCAGTTCTAAGAATGACAGGCGTTCAGGCATTCCGGCGTTCAGGCGGTTCAAAAGCGGTAATGGAGATGACTGCGTGTACGACGAAACTAGCGTTTATCTAAACAGCGATGGAGTTTAGGCGCGATAATGGGAATGGAGCATGTATAGCGGCTCAATACGGCGTTTATTGCGAAGGCATGGTATGGGAGGCGTTTTGGAATTTGACATTTCTTTCCTTCCTAGTACTTGTAATAACCAAAAAGAGGTGGACCGAGACTGCGATTGATTTCCTTTCACATGGCTTAGTTTCCGCCTTTCTTGCATTTGTGCGATGAGTACTTTCAACTCATGTTACTAGCTTAGCTATGTACATCCCCCTGCATTAATGTAATCGTCTCAGTCCCTCAATCAATCCCTTGACTTCCTCGAGCTCCACACCTAATCCCTCAATGGCCTTCCTTTGCACTTCCTCGCTTACATCCAAAAACCTCTCCACCAGCTCCCCATCTACAAAACGCATGGGCTCTTCTTCCTCCCTGACGGTATTCTTGAATGCGCGGAACTTGGCAAAGTCCATGTCTCCCGGTGCGGCGACGAGAGCACCGAGATTGGATTGGAGTGTCATGAGGAGGTTTTGGTAGTCGGCTGAGATGAGACCGAAAAGGTAGATTGAGCCTTCGACCTGCACGTAAATTAGTATTTGTGTGTGATAAATGCAACAGGGTAGACTTACAGTGCCAACGAACGCTTTGGGAATGACTGCAGCGTCCGAAGTCGTCATGACATCAATCCGACGTATCCTGTTCACCATTTCTCCCAGTAGCATTTCCGAGCTGACGTTCAACCGCCTCTTATCATCGTCTGTGACACCGTTCGGGTCGCGGTACAGGACCATCAGGTTTCCCTCTGCGTCGCTTTCAAGATATGTGTTCGTGTCTACCTCGGCCACAGCCGTTGCCCAAGTCGTCTGATAATGCCGCGCGACTTCTACAAGCTTGTCTGGTAGACCCGCCTCGCCCTTTGTGTATTCGACGACGGCGAGTGACTTCATCAGGTCAGCGATGGCGATCATGGTGCCGTTGACGGTAACATCGATTGGCGCAGTCGAGCATCTGAACGAAGCTAGCTTCACCAGGTCAGGAGAACTTTGCGTTTTGAATTCGACATCGTATACCACGATAGTCTTGATGAGCGCGGCGACGATTTTGCCTTCGCAAATGGCTAGACACCTGCAACCGCCCTTTACAGCGATTTCGGTGACGAGCTTGAGTACGCGCTCGGGCGTTACCTCTAGGATGATTATGCGGCCGCGTTCTGCAGTCGCATTCTGATCGTCAAGGTATGCAGTGCCGATGACAAAGCGCTCTGCAACCCCGCCTGAGCCGTCTGGGAGTTCGCAGCGCATGACGCATTCGACTAGTTCCTCTTCATTGAGAGCATACGTGTCGAGCTCCTTGAACTGGATCTCGTCCACGAGCTTGAAATGACTTAGCATAATCTCCTCGCCATGTTTGAGTATCCTCTTGATAGTGCCGAGACCGAAAGCTTTCAGACTAGGTGAGTATGCTATCCGTCGTACGGTCTCATCGACCTTTAGCGTCTGTACATGCGTTGTTCGCTCGGTGTCTACTAGAGCGATGCGGAGGTCCTCTGAGGTTGCGATGGCTACAGATCCGGGATATGCTTCTGAGTCGAAAGGACAGACTGTTGTTGCTTTCTCTGCTGTGACAGCGGAGTATACAAGACGACCTTCTGAAGAGTAGATCAAGGATGGATGTTCGCATGTTGCAAATACGTTGAATAGGCCGTTGCCGCGAGGTAAGGCACGGAAACTAGCTTCGCGCGTGCCTAGGACGATGCTTTTCCTTCCGGATAGCTCATGTGTTGAGGGATCATAGGCGTATGTGACAACATTGCCATCTGCTAATGCAGCGAAGAGGGATGGCGGCTGTTCCGGGAATATCTGAGTTAGTAGCAATGAGCGGGGAACCGAGTCTTCGGAGATCTGAACCGTCTTGACCGCTTCCAGGGTATCGAGAGAGCATATAGCCAGTTCGGAGTTGCTCCAGAAGCCAATGAAGCATATCGAGCTTGAGACTGACGGAAGAGCAATGCAGGCGACCTGGCTTTCGGAACCGAATTTCTTCTCTTTGATAACCTGTAGACCGTCGGACATACTCAGAGAGACGATAGTGACGCCTCCTAAGGAGACAAGAACATGACTATCGTTGATGGAAGCAGCGGTAATAGCCTGGCCACCCATTGGCATCCATTCCGACGTTATCATTCCGCCATCCAGATCGCAGATTCGGGCTCGTCCGTTCGTGACCTGGATCACGCGCCCTTGTGAGATGTTCGCAGCGGCTAGTGTTGTCTCGTCCAAAGCGAGCGAGGCAAACTCGTCCACCTCTTCTACCTCGCCCTGTGGATCGAATCGGAAGATGCGCGACTCGTTGACAAAGCTGACTAGTAAGGTGTCTTCATACTGGGCAGAGGCGATGGATTTCAGACTGAATAGATCAGAGATCTGTTCCATCTCGCCCAACACACCAAGATCTTCCAGTCCAACTCCGCTTCTAACGCTCCGAAGACTTCCGTCTTGATATGCGCCACTACCGGTTACTATGCGCGCCTGGCCAGAAGAGTATTCATTGCTTTGCCCTTCACCAGATCTGTTGCCCATATCCATGATTGTGAAGTCAAGTATAGGCGCGATGTTGGAGAATGTCTGGACAACCTCCATCGACTTCTCTGCAATCTTGATGACTTGCGAGTCTCCCTGGTGCGATCCCACAAAGACGTATCCAGCATCGAGATATACCAGCGTAGATGCGCGAGATGTCTCCCCGATTACGTCAAGTTTCCATGATTGGACCTTGCCTTGGCTGCTCAAGACCAACATGAACATGTATAGGCGACCGTAGTCATCGGCGAGCACGAATCGCTGAGCGTCAATGCGTTCCCAAGCCACAAAGATGGTCGCCTCGTCCAGTGGCTCGGTTTGGAGTTCCCCACTCTCGTCGTCGTAGTATCCGATGGATGTTTCGCCGATGACCACCAGGCCGTGGGAAGGCTCTTCGACGGGTATCAGGTGGCTCGAGCCAAGCTCCAGTTCGGTCTTGCAGGTCTCGCCTTCCTGTAGGTCCACCTCTTCGCCGGCGTAGGTCAATTCCCGTAATTTCAGCTTGACTTGAGAGTGTGTGTCTTCGTATAGTAGAGCCATCTTGGGCTTGTCGTCGAAGGACCGTGGGCGCAAGAAGGCAGACGAGCGGACGAACATCTCGGGTAGTCTGACTGGCTGAGGGTCTCCCAGATGGGCGATATCAGCCTCTTGCTTCCTCTTCTTTCCCCTTTGGACTAGCGGTATGACGGTTACAATGCCCTCGTAGACCTCGACAGTCATGAATCGCCCCGTCGGATCGATGTGACATCTCTCGCCCGTTTGCGACTCTCTTGCAGCATTGTCGGCCACGCTCGCGAATGATTTCTCCGTTTGTAATTGTTTCTTCTCGGGATTCCATGAAAGGGTGAAGTACATGTATCGATCGGTTCCGACGAAGAGGTGATCGGTCGGTGATAGGGCTGGGCGGAGCTTCTGGAGCATGGTGACCTTGCCATAGATGGCTTTGGAGTGTTGGAGGGCCAATCCATCGGAAGTCTGGGTATAGAATTCGAGTCTGTTCGATTTGCTTCAATCTTATTAGCATTGGATAGATAGTGATGCATGTACCCGTGGACTGCTTACGCGACTACGAGGCAATCCTCCTCCTGGGCGAGGAAGTTGAGCTTGAGCGCATGCCGGACGCTGCTTGGCCGGTGGATGGGTGCGATGTAAGCCATGGCGATATCTATTAGAGCTTGTGGATAGCTCAAAGTACAGGTCAGAACTATCGTGGTTGGCGGGCTGGAGACATCGGATGCATTCCGTCATTGAGCTGCACGGGCCGCGGCTCCACGCGACTTCGCGTTGCGGGGCGGCCGTGACTTTTGGAACTTTTGGAACTTTTGGAACTTTGGGTGACCGCGACTCTTTTTGCTTGCAGCCCCGACGCGCCCACTTAAAATGGCGTGTGAGTCCAGCCCTCGCTCTCCACAACACCAAACCAGACTCCGCTAACACAATGGCGAACTCAGCGGCCATGGATATCGAAGATGACGATCCCGTCGTGGCCGAGTACGACGTCTACATCACCCCCGAGATGGCCGAGCAGCAGCTGTACGTGCTGCAGTACCTGAACCGCCCGCCCGACCAGCCCTTCACCAAGGCCACCGAGAGCCAGCCCTCGCAGCTGCGCCTCAAGAAAGAGTCGGGTTTCATTGAGGTCGACGTGCCCGTCAACATCCACCGCAACTACAACCGCATCGCCGGTGTGCGCTGGGGCGAGGCCATGCGCAAGACCAAGGGCTTTGGCCAGAAGGCCTTCGGTATTGCGTCCGGCTTTGAGCGCACCATGCCGCGCAGCACCAATCGCCCTGGCGCCGCCGGCGAGGGAGGAGCCCCCGCAGCGCCCATTGCGACCGAGGACGACGACAACTTTGAGGAGTACGTCACCCACTTCGAGGACGCCAACGAGAAGGGCCACGTCCTCAACACGCAGACATTCGGTGGCCAGATCATGCCCGACGACGGCAAGGGCACTAGCTACATGCTCGGCACCTTCCGCGACAGTAGGTAGCGCGCGACAACAACCATCACTTCAAGACTGACTCGGCGCAGACGAACTCCACCTCACACGCTGCAACGGCCTCGTCCAGCTCCGAACACAGTTCCACCAGATAGATGCCTCCGCCCAGTTAGAAGCTGTTCAGCGCCGCCGCGAGAAGGAGTCACAGGAAGGCGCCAAGGTCGCTGAACCAAAGGCCTTCCTTGCCCAAGTCAAGAAGACGGGCGGTGACACTGCCGCAGAGTTAACTCAGGCCTTCATGAAGTCGACCAACCAAGAGCAGTGGCTGAGGCTTGACTACTATGACGAGAACGTACGTCCTTCTGTCTTGCACTCCATCTCGCTGGTGACAAGCTAACCATGCTGTAGGACGATCGAGCCTTCGATGCGTACAACGACCGGCTCTTCCTCGCAGACGTTGAATCCGCGCCCAAACTCCAGGCCAAGATCGACAACAACGAGTTCCTCGACGCCGTCGGCTCCGGCGGCAAAGCCAGCAAGAAGAGGCCTAGGCGCGACGCCGAAGACCTCATCGAGATATCCGACGACTCCGACGACCAGGCTGACGAGCCATCAGTGAGTTGAGCAAGTGGATTTCGCGCGTATAACACTGGCTGTTGCGCGAAAGAGCTTCTCGCACCACCATTATTATCCGACCTGGCCATTGAACATCTATCCTCCCATTTACCTACTAGATACCCCCAAAATATTACTGAGCTGTTACTACATAATGATGCTACAGGCCTGCGACTATCGATATGTTTTTCGTCTCCTCACGAGGCTAGAACTATTCAGTGACACAATGCTAATTTTCTCTCTCTTAGTTTGATGTAGACTTGGGCTACCAGCCGATGGGACCGGGGAATTATCGCGGCAGACGCAGAGGTGTAAAACGTCTGCGCGGTTCTGGTGCGGTCGATTGGTACTATTTCGGATACCCAGGATACGGCCGTGACCTTCATAGAGAGGCTAGATTTGGAAGTAGCTATCCGCTATCTAGGGGATATGGGCCAGGAAACTGATGAGTAGGTGATTCAAATATCGAGAATAGGGACACGACGCGCGAAGGAAGGGTTGCAGCCTCGATACCATGTGGTAAGCCTGGGAGCCTTGTCGTTGTTGGTCTCTGACCAGATATCCGTGAAGGGTGACAGGTATCTATGAGGTTGATACGTTCCATAGTCGGTTCATGATGTAATAGATCGCGCTGAATCCTCGGTCCAGTACTTTATTCGAGTTCAAAACATGTGAATGGTCAATACGACATCGCAGGTTGTGTAACCATGGTACACACTGGCTTCGGCCAAATTTCTCTTCCACAGGCCTATACTTTGCTTTCCACAGCTTCTACTACTACGTCGAGCACCCTATGTAAAGCATACTGAACACTGACGTCCCACAGAGTATATCTTCACAGAAAGCCCAGGCAGCTACATCGCCTTTGAGATCTTATAATCCCACAGTTAAATATTAAAGTAGACTCCAGCCAGCCTATTGAACTTCTTCTTCGTACGAGGCAAAAGCAGTTTACTGCATACCTAGGCCGCGACCATCTCCCAAGAACTAGCTTAACTCATCGACTACTTCCCACAATGTCTCAACACGCGCGGTATGCATCTCGTACCGACGAAGAGATTCGCAAAGAGATGGACCCCGGACACGTTCCATATCGTATGGGCTGGCCGACACTTGCACCTCTGCCGATGGACACCGACATAGATGCGAGATGGATGATACCAGGCTCATATCAGATACTGCGTGATGTGCAAGACATTCTCATAGCACATGGCTTGCTCAGGGGGACTACCGCGTTCTACTTTGCGTTTCGCACTCCTCGGGATGCTACTGAGGAGAACGACAATATAGCGCATTTGACGCTCTTGATACGGGTCGACATGCTGAAGCACGCTCGTCATGAGATTGAAGATGCTATCATCAGGATCAGGGCCAGCTTCCGCGATAATTCCTGGACGGAGGACGCCCAGATTGAGTGCATAGACTATCGAGTAAGGCAATCTACCGGCATGTCTTTCCCCATCCGCCATGATGAGCACAACATACGTCAACAATGGGAAGCCATATCTTCCGATGTCATGTCTTTGCTGAGCAAGCATGAATGGCTTTCGGTAGAAATTCTTCGTCGAGGATTGATCGACGAGCGCAAGGAGTGTCCACCAACAATTGTCATTACTACACCTACTGCGCGCGATCCCAAGTGGTTCGATTTCGTGGTACCTTCGATTATGGCCGAGATTGCCAAGAGAGCTCCAGACTTTGGCATCGAAATACTATGTGGGAAGACGATGCTGGGGGCGAAGAGGCGAAACAGCTTGACCGACAACGTCAATGGCTCATCATACACCAAAAAAGCCCATATGGGATGTTCTCTTGGAATTGCGAACGATGAGAAAGGTTGCAGTACTTTGGGTGGATCTGTCACTCTTTCCGGGGGTGTTCGGTGCGGAATAACAAGCTGGCACGGCGTCCGCGATTCACGACTTGACAGCGTCATCTCTAACACGGCCAACAAGGCTCTGGGTGCCGACAACAAGACCCTGGCCAACATGCCTCAAGCCATGGTATCGCCAGCGACGTTCGACCATTCCGGCTACCTCGGACTGCTGCAAAAGCAGATTACGCTTTACCGTACTTACGCTGCTGATGGAGATGTGGAATTTAAGATGTTGCACAAAGAGAAGGATGAAGAGTACAAGAAATGCAAAAGCTTCGACCGACGTATTGGCTACGTCTACGCAGGTTCAGGCCGTCGAACTATCGACGCCAACAAGTACACATCAGATCCCGATACCGACCGATCCAAAGACAAGATGAAGGCGTTGCAGCCTACGTTCGTCTTCCCCCTCGACTGGGCGTTGATCCGTATGGACGATACGAAAAAACGCGACGTTACCAATCGTCTGCCTGATGTTTACTCTACCAAGACGAAACTTGTCCCAGAGCAGAAGTGCAGGCAATGGTCAACCTTCAATGTCAACAAAGAAGAAGTGCATGTTGCCAAATACGGGCGCACGAGTGGCTGGACGGCCGGCACCATCAACGCTTGCATGATTATCATCAACCCTGATGCAGACGAGGAGATCTTGGGCGCCTATGGCATCGGTGCGAAGAACGTGGCAGCGTGTTTTGGCGTGGTTAGCGAGGACGAGAGGGAGGACTTCGCTGGGTTTGGTGATAATGGCAGTGTAGTATTACACGAAGGATCAGGCACGCAGCTTGGATTACTTGTCGGGGTGACTAGTACTGGACAAGGAATGTTTCTTCCTATGGACGTTGTCTTTGAGGATATTAAGAGGGTCACTGGTAGAGACGTTGTCAGACCGTCTTATGTCGGGAAGTTGACATCATCTCCAGCGAAATAGTATGAAGCTAATGGCGAATAGCTCCCCAGGTTGTGGGACTTGCCCCGTTCGAGTTGACGGAGTAGCCCGAATAAGACGACGGACGCATCAAGGATGAACGATGTGCTCATGCGATGAAGAGCAGGAGGAAAGTAGACAGTAGTGCGCGTCTTGTGGTGATATTGCGCGAAGGTTCTTTTGCTAGCTTCTCAGATGACCAAGACCGGCGGTTAGATTTGGCTATAGCTCATGATATCTTCTTTTGACGCCTCGATACTCAATTTACATAGACTGTTTGTTCAAAATAGGTGCACATCTACTCCCCTTAGATGTAAAGGACAAGCTATAAGGTGACTAGGAAGCTATGGTGGGACTAGGTGCACGCTCATTCAGTTAGAAGACTGAACAAATGGTACTAGGTCAAGATGTCACTGGGAATATTGACATGAACAGAATTCCTTTAGCCCACTACGTAATTGTACACATGCTTGGTTCAAGAGAAATATCGCCTTACAAAAAATCAAAAGAAAATGTGGACTGACTGACGCAAGGAAAATACTCTGTTTTCATGTCTTTTCCTTTGCTTTCTTTCTTTTCTTGCAATAAGTCAAAGCGCCAACAAAGGAAAAGATCATAGAGCTTCCTAGACTCACGAGGTGTGCTGGAAGTGCTGCTTCTCTACGCCTTGATACTGTAGTACGACTAATGTAGTGTACCCAATATGCTCGGTTCCAACGTTTCTGCCGCATGTAGAACGGAGCGAATTCACCGTGGCATACCAGTTCCGGCCGTATAGGTCCAGTAAAACCTCACTCTCAACGGTTTTGTCGACTTATGGTGGTTTTGTAGCTCTGGATGGTATGGTTTTGTTGTTGGTTGGGCTCCCGTGTTTTGCAGCCATGTGTCTTCTGAGGTTCTTCTGATGTGCCAAACTTTCTCCACAGCCTTCGACGGGGCAGTCATATCGATTGTCGGTATGCTTGCTTCGCATATGGTCGCGCAGGTTCTTACGGTGATCGTAACTCTTGGAGCATTCAGTGCAGCAATGCTTTTTCCTTCCTTCCTGAATGTACCGGCGCTGAATCTGACGAGGGAGATCGACTGTTGTACATTCCAGGATCCGATCAGGAGCCGTAGCATCAGAAAGGAAAGATTGAGGCGAATCGTCCGTAGGATGCGCTGAAATGTCATCCAGGCGCGTGATGCCTTGAATTGGGCTGGGCCGATCGACGCTGGGTATATATGTAGTACTGGATGAACCACATGGAGTATATACAGAAGCGATGATTTCACTAGGCATCTCGGTAGATGCTAGTGGGCAGGGTAGGACGGATCGAAGGACATCAGAAGTTTGGAAGGTGGTGCCCAATGACGCGACAGTCATTAGTACAGAAGTCTTGACGCTGTCGGGCCCTTGGTTGCTTCTTTCGAGTAAAGTATTCGTAAACCATTCATCGTGAAGAGGATACCACCAAAAGCGTTGTTGGAGGAGTCTAGGACAGTTGTTCACATGATCATAATGTGCTGTCGGGATCGAAACAGCGCAAGGCTACCGTAGCCTTGCGCTACGTCAATCTGAAATATGTCTGAATCTGAGAAAATATGTTAGCATTGTCTTCAATAGACAAGTGGGACAGGTATGAGCTCACATCAGAAAAAAGTGAATAACACCGAAGGCTCGGAGGTCGCCTCAGACGCAGCCCAAGAGGGCAAGTGCGTCTGGGGTAACGTGTTGCGGTCTTGTTGGACTACCGTACGCGCCTCGGGCTGTCAAAGTAAAACGAGTGATCTTTGATGAGAGATGTGGGTCTCTTATAAACAAAGTCGATAAGGACTAGGTTAACCTAGGATGGCACCTGGGCAGTGGGGGCGGCAAGAGGGGGGTCTCAGGTCCGTGCATCCGCGGGCGTCCTTCAATCTAGATCAGCGTCGACGCGCACATGCATGCATGTTCGGCTACTTGACGCATCATCCAATCAAGCCTACAGAACAAGTTGGAGCCAGCTGAGGCCCCTCGGTGTGGCGCATTCTTCGTTGGAAAGGACGAGCTTACATTGGATCGTTCATACTCCAAGCTGATTGAGACCCCCTCCTGCCCTGCAAGCCTGGCCCACGTCCTGCAGAGGCGTATTCATGGCCCAGGAACGATTCCGGTGACTATGACCGCAAGATCTTACCTAGGTAGTTCCCTGGCAACACCAGCGCATAGCCTCATGACCATTAGAGCTACGCTGATGCGCCTTCGCTACTGATTGCGTACCTAGGTATGCACGAAAACTTGGGCGGGTCTTCTTTATTAGATGAGGCCCTCCTGTGTGATAGTATTCAAACGGTGAGCAGACGTGGTCGCCTCCGAGAACCTACTACCACATGTCTGTTCCCACCAAGAAAAGAAGAATGGACCCCAACCGAAAGCAGTCATCCCTGTTGATTGTTCTTCACGTAGATACTTTCGAAGTGTTCCTGTCTGTAAATACTAATAACGTCTTCTTCACCGATACTGTAATCTTCTTCTACAGATCAATTGCTTTGATCAGACGCGTGGGCTTTGCCAAACCAAGTTCAGTGTGCACTAATACCGACGGATGCACAGAGTTCGCTAAGCCTGGTGTACTGAGACCCTCGAGCATGGGCTGTATACTCGTTCGCAGATCATGCTCCGCGCTTTCGTTGATCGCAGGCAAAGCTCGAGCAATGTCGTCGATAATCGGCCTTAGCTCATTTGATATGCAGAACTCACACATACCTGACACCCGATGAGACCCTCGTCGCCACGTACGAAGGTACTGAGACCCTCGACATCTCGCCTTACGCTCTTGGAAGATTCAATCCAGCTATCCAAGAGCTACTGAGGCCCCCAACTTAATGTCCATGTTGTTGCATGAGCTACCAGTTTTCCGGCACACGGCAAGGCCTTGAGGGGCCCTCCCTTAAGTTGTGCTTTTTGATCGTAAACGTAAATATAAATGGTTCGTCACTGCAGCAGTATAATTTTGGTGTACTTACCTGCAAATCATACTCCAAGGGCCAAAAAGGTCATCCACAGTGTGTCTATAGCTTTCAATGACTTCTAAACCCAGCCCCACTACCTCCTCTGGGAAGCCTAGCAGTGCAGGTACTTTCGCAACGAGAGGCGGTGGAAGTTCAGCTGCTGATATCAACGCCTTTCTGGGCGGTATGCCTCGTAAGTTATCGTCTTCCTCTCCAATTGCTACGAGTCTTCTGTTAATGGAGCATCCAGAACCCATTATGGTGTTGCCTCAAAACCCTTGGACGGTTTCGTCTGGGTATTACACTCGCCCTGATGGATCTGTCGTGTACATCGAGCATCCACACCAGATCCGTAACACTGCGCTCAATGGAAGCGCCAGCTCGAGCATGGAAGTTCTGACCGGAGGATGCAATGGCGCTAGCGCACAGCATGGAGCGAAGAATGGCCACTAGTGCTGGCTTTATTGAGGCGGTACGCGACTGAGTTGATGTACTTGTTTTTTCGCGGTGTTGTGTTGATGAACGGCGTTCTGAAGGAGATGGAAAGAGGAAGGGCAACGATCCGGAGCGATCATGTACCCATAGCAGTCTAGTCCCAATCGGGTTGGTGCTCACTCGACCCAGTGTTCTCTCCACATCTCCACCACGCTGCATCAAGTTCACGTGAATGCTAAGTTTTATAACACGTCTTCATTCGTAACAGCTTCTATTCTTCCATCATCGCATTCCATACATTCTCAAGATCCACGAAATCAGCATGCCGCCCGCAGCCCCACCTTCCTACCCCCGTCCAGACTTCCTTCGCGAAGACCTAACATGGACACCCCTCAACGGCCCATGGTCATTCCTCTTTGACGACAACGACGTTGGCTTGACCCAAGGATGGCATTTGACCTCTCTCCCGGACAAGATCACCGTAAACCCCACCAACACCAATAGCGCCGAGAACACCGAAGCGCACAGCATCACTGCCAAGATAGCCGCTGGAACTCAAGAGCTGCTACAGGGGAACGCATTCAAAAACGAACATACTGTACATGAGAAGAGGAACATCCAGGTTCCGTACGTGTTCCAATGCCCGGCCTCCGGCATCGAGGAGAAGGGCGTGCATGAGGTGCTGTGGTACGAGAGGGTCATTGCAGACCCGAGAACTATGGAAGAGAAGGCAGCCGGAAACCGCGTGGTGCTGAGATTTGGAGCTGTCGATTACGAAGCCAAGATCTGGCTTAACGGGCGCTTCTTTGGTGGCCATCGCGGTGGACATGTGCCTTTTGACATCGACGTCACGGATGCTTTCACGGAAGAGAAGGCTCAAAGACTCACCATTCGCGTATTTGATTCTGCGCATGACCTCACTCAACCACGCGGTAAGCAGTACTGGAAGGCTCAACCAGAGAGTATCTTCTACACGCCCAGTGGCGGTATCTGGCAAAGCGTGTGGCTTGAATCAGTGCCTGTTGTGGCGATTGGAGATGCAAGCGCGGGCACGCTATTCAAGAGCAATGATATCGAGAGCGGCAAGCTGGAAGCTAGCATCAAAATCATAGGAAGGCCTGCTGGACATGCATACAGCGTAGAGCTCGAAGCCAGCCTGGCAGGTGTGCCCGTCAGCAAGACAGAGAAGGTTGCTCTTCCAAGAGACTCAGACACTGCTTCCTTGAGCACCAACATGCGACTTTCCGACTCCCAGACTTCACAGCTGCCTCTTACATCCACTGCCCCACTTTCTGACGCGACAGCATGGCTCAACAACCTAGCCCTCTGGTCTCCGGAGGAGCCCACTCTATACGATCTGACTATCCGCCTCTACGACAATGAAGACAAAGTCATCGACCAAGTCCACACCACAACCGGAATGCGTTCTCTCCATTGGGATAACTCCACCTTCCGACTCAACAACCGCCCATACTTCCAAGCGCTCTTCCTCGACCAAGGCTACTGGCCCGAAACCTTCATGACACCTCCATCTTCCGACGCACTGAAGCTAGACATCGAGTTGACCAAGACGATGGGCTTCAACGGATGCCGCAAGCACCAAAAGGTCGAAGACCCACTATTCCACTACTGGGCCGACCGACTTGGACTGCTAGTCTGGGGTGAAATGGCAAACGCATACGCATTCTCCGAGGCGTATGTAGAGCGCATGGATCAAGAGTGGCGGGAAGCCGTCTTGCGCGATCGAAACCACCCTTGTGTCGTTGCTTGGACGCCAGTCAATGAGTCGTGGGCGTACACTGATCTCCATACGAGCAAGCAGCAGAGAGACCATATCAGGAGCTTGTACTATGCGACCAAAGTGCTGGATTCGACGAGACCCATCAACGACAACTGTGGCTGGGAACACGTCATCACTGACTTGACCACGTTCCATGACTATGCCGATGCGGATGAGCTCACAAAGACTTGCTCGACGCTGGACGGCATCATGAAGAAGCAGTCGAACCGACCGACGTTCCTTGCACCTATCGAGAGCTTGTCAGATCCTGGGTCGAAACATACTCCTGGTGCACCTGTTATCTGCACAGAGTTTGGCGGTGTCAACATTGCGCGATCGGCTGCGGGTGAAGAGGATAGGAAGAGGGACTGGGGTTACACCACTGCTACCGATCCCAAGGATTTGCTTAAGCGCATCGAAAAGATGATGGACGGAATTGTAGATGGAGGGCATTGCTGTGGGTTTGTGTATACGCAGCTTACAGACATTGAGCAAGAGGTAAACGGCGTATACACACCGGACCGGAAAGAAAAGTTAGATGCTGCCGAGGTGAGGAAAGTGGTTGAGCGCGTTATGGAGAAGTATGCGCAGATGCATAAGTAGTTGCTTGGGTCAAATAAGCTTGTAGACAAACGCAAACATTCACTCAAGCTAGGAGGTAGTATCTTCGTAATTTTGTTTATTCCGCGCACGGCTTTGGTGGCTTCGTATTATCATACATGAGTTCTTTTCAATCGTACATCTACCTTCAACCAGTAGCTGTTGGTATCCATGCATAGTTGACAAACACCCTCTGTTGTCATGCTGATATGTGGCAATCGCCCAACCATGATCTCCAATGCACAATATCCGCTTCGCTATTCACAATGGTATGCACTGAGTTTGCAACCAGATCATACGACACGCGACATGCGAGTGACTGGAACCGGTAATCTCCAGGATGCGTGATTCCGGGAACGCAATAAACAGAAGGAAAAGGGTATCGTCCGTAGTGAAAACCGTGTAACTCCGCCCGTCCTGCTACCAATGCACGTCAAAGCAATCATCCGCCATAACGCACACCGCTCCTCAAGTATCGCACACTCTCATCTTCAAGACGTCGTGGCTGCTGATCCTCTCGGAGCGGAATGTAGTCCTGGTTCGGCTGGACGCGCCTCTCATACATCCTATTTTCAGGCACGTAAGCACGAGACGGATCAACAGGGTGTACATCATACTGTGCACCTCTCACTTCATGCGCACGCATTCGGTGAGACGGTCCAGAAGCATATGCATATCCACGATGATCAGCAGGCGCAGGCGGGCGTGCAGAGACATCGTAACCTCTACCACCACTAGAAGGTGGCTGGTAAGGACTAGTAGTCAGATCAATAACTTGCTCTCTAGGCGGCGGTGGCCTTGGCCCATAATTGGGCGCCATGCGTTGGCTCATATGGAATCCTGCTTGATCATCTCCGTAAGTCCGGGGGCGAGCTTCCTCACGGTATACGGGCCTTAGACGCTTGGCGTGTTGCTCGGCCTGGGACTGTCTGTCATCCGCAAAAGAAGGAAGCGCTTTTCGCTTTGGCGATTGCAGCTCATTATATGCTCTGTTCGGATTCGCGTTATGGTTTCGGGTAGGCTGTTGAGAAGTTGCAATATGTTGTGGTGATGTCAAATCGACTGTCTCAGGCTCAACCGAAGGTAGCACAACATCTTGGTCTGATGGGCGTCTTGGGTGCGCTGATGGTCTGTCAAAGGCACTGTGACGAGGTGATGGAGGCTGAACATATCCTTCCTGTACGCGACGAGGCGCAGCGTGCAAAGGAGGATCGTTGTACTGTAACCTCGACGCAACACGATCTTCCTTGATGGGTTGTAGCTATGCGTGTTAGCTCAAGAAGAAGTCAAGGACCAGGATACCGTTTTCTCTCGCTCATAGAGCTTGATTGTCGAACACTCACTTGGTATAGTTGGCCGTTGATCTCACGCACGATCGGCTGTGCGTTTCTCACACTCTGACCAGCCTCGGCTGGTCTCGCTCGCCTGCAGTCGTGAGTATTAAATTTGATGTCAGCTGTCGTATGCACTTACGGATCATTTGTCCTCGTTCGCACTGATTGGAGAGGCTGCTGCGTAGGTGACTGGAAACGTGAGGTGCCAGATAATACAGGTGGCGGTGGAGGAGGAGCATAGCGTGGAAGGACAATGGTTCTTCTTGATGAAGGTCTCATGTTGCGGACATCCCCACTCGGGTAATTAGCATGTAGTTCCGGCTGTAAATCGCGCGCAGTAGCACGACTGGAAACAATCTCCATGCTTTGCTCGCGCTCATCAGGCGTGGCCATGGAGCCTTCATCGCTGCTAGCTTCATCATCATCGTCAAGAACAATGACTTCACGGAAGGTTTCCTCAAGTTCGTTGCTTTGCTTTCCGTCTTCATCTCGCCACTCTTTGAGTTTCGCAAGAGAGACTTTCTCGACTTGGCCGCGGGCTTCCGACCAGCCGTCAGTCTTGAGCAGCTTGTCGTAGTCTGTGTATGTGTGGCGAATATGCGCGACAACTGCGAGTTGCACTCTACGAGCCAACGAAAGCTCCTTAGCATTACCTACCCGGTTAGTTCCCTCTTCGAACGCATGAGAAACAATGGCTTGTAGATCTGCCTCTGGTATCTTGGGAAACATCTCCCGAACGGCGCCATGGATGTAGCCCTTGGTCTCCTTCTCAGTGGCGGGATGCCCTCGTTGTACTTGCCGCGAAGAGTAGTCTTCAAACTCTTGGGCTATCCAGTTGGTTCTGTCACCTTCTTTGTCCTTCCGCAGGCCGCGTCTCTCATCGTAGAGATATCCGAACTTGCTGCAGGCAAGTTCGATGATGGTGAGAGGAAAGTGGTGTCCGACTCGGTGGACGTGGTGGGATAATTTCTCGGGATCGGAGTGGGTTTTGTTCTTCGGCTTGGCCTGCGACGCTGTCAGTGGATGACCTGTTGGCTTTGGAGGGACTGGATGCTCACAGAGACGATGTGTACGTCAAGGTTGCGCTGTCGGCACTGCTCTTTGCACCACTCAGTGAATTCGGGGTGTCCAGCTGGGATGAAACCGAAGCCAGTGGGGGCGTTCGACGCGTATGTCAGCTATTCTACAGTCAGTGGTGTTATATGACGATGAAATCGCGTCGCCGACGGACAATGGAATGTAGCTTCTTCTTCTCTTGGGTTACCGCTTCTAGCACGATCTTGTACGGCTTCTTCTTCTTGATGGCGGCTCGCGACTGATCAAGCGTGCTGCCGCGCTGCGGCGGCTGTTGCGCACGCGGATGATATACTCTGGTCATGGCTCTGGTATGCAGATGATGTTCATAGATCCCACAGCGGACCAGGGCAATATGAGTCGCTACTGGGTGACTGAGCACCCTATGTGGCCTGACACGGCGTGTTCAGCGATTAATACGGTAAGCGCAGCAGTCACGATGTCGTGCAATTGTCCAGAACGAATCCGGATTGCGTTTCTACAAGCCCCGGTCGATGCAAAGGCACAGGCGGGGTGTTGGGTGGTACGTGTTGTGGTGTTGAGGAGTTGGCGAGGTTGGCACTGGAAGCGCAGGTGGCGGCTGCGCGCGTCGGCGTTACCTTCCGCCGACCCTGCATCCGAGGTCACAGCGTGAAGTGCTGTGCCAGGGCTCCAGAACATGTCACAGCAAGCAGTTCTCCACGCGTATAGGCACCTATACCGGCACAGCCTCAGAGCTATTCAGTTCTCGAAGCCGGCTCGATATACATTGCGCGACCGCATCCGCCTGGCCTTTCGCAAAGGCTCCGCGGCCGATTATGAACCACAGAGGATACAGAATACGCTCGAGTTCCTGCAGTATGCGACTAGGCAGAACGGTCTCGAACACAAGATAGTGAAGAATCTTCTGTTCGTATGGTGGGTACAGAATCATGGAGGTCGCAATAAGCACAACCCGAAGAACGCCATGTATGTAGCCAGCCTTCATCCGTCTCCAATGTCATGCGGCTGACTGTTTCAGGACGCGTGAGGACCTCGAGGTCAAGACCACCGCGTACGATGTCTTCAACCATAATATTCGCATGCTGAACGAGAGCATGGGCCTGTGCCTTCCAGCCACGACTGTTCGCGACCCCAGTTGAAGCAACCCCGCCATGCCGACACCATTGCTACTGTGGTGCCCACGTCACCTGCGGGATACACAAATGCGAGTAAGGTCCTCACATGAAGTCGTCGAGGAAGTTCTCGTCGCGGTTCTCGTTGGAGTTTTGCTCCAAATTCTCCTCTGTCATGACATCGTCGTAGGCATGATCTCTCCGCCACGCAAGCTCCTTGCGCTCCTTGGCTATACGGGCCTCTTCTTTGCGCTATGAATCATTAGTCGCGAGTCGTAGTCGCGTGTGCGAGCCGAAATAGTGCGTCTGGATCAGAACACCAGTCGTAGGGGAAATAGAGTGTCGGAGAGATTGCAGACGACAGGATGGATTATGAGTACAGACGTAGATGGAATAAGGGATCATGCGAACACAGTACATGTAGAACAAAGCTGGATAACGAGACTTGGGGAATACACATACCTTGGCTTGCAGAGCACTCTGATCTCGTTTCCTCAACTCCGCCCGCCTTGCTTCTCGCTCCTCTCTTAGGTCGGGGAACTTCTCAACTTTTGTCTTGTTAAGACGGTTGACAATAGGATTTTCTCGCTGCTCCACATGTATGCGCTTCACCTAAAATGCTGTCAGCAAACCGAGCACTAAGTCGCGGACGCAAGTGTTTTGTGTCTCACGGCAATGCGCTTACCTTTCGCTGATCCTTGAACCCCACTTGACCTACAGCCATGCTCCCGTCTTTCTTCAGGTTGCTCCAAGGCGTGTAGACAATTGTGACATTGTCTTTTTTGTTGCCCTCGATACTGTTCGCCTTGGTAAGTTGCGCGCAGTCCGTCAGCAACTCCTTGCTCATGTTCTCCCAGTCTTCGCCCTCGGGTAACCGGACGTAAATATGGGCCGAAGAGAGATTGTCGGCGTGGAACCAGACATCTTCGTCCCAACCGTATTTGATGAGCTCTTCGTCTGTTGAAACGATCAGTATTTGCGGTTGTAATTGCGTGAACCACTGAGGGTACGCTGGCAGGTCAGAAATGACATACTCTCAACCTTGTCTTTACCGACGTAGATAAATGCCGACGGCGACACGGTATTGGACGAAAAATAGTACACCATCTTGCGGATAAAGACGCTTGATTTCAAGTGTCTGCGTCAAGTAGCAAGTGAGAAGGTTGCCGGGATCGTGAAAATGGAAGGCACGTGTGGGGTCTAGCGGGGTATCCACAGCCCTAAATACCTAGGTACTCAAGGGTCCGTAGCAAAGCATTCATGGATGCAACACATCACAATGATCATAACTCGGACATGAACATGTGATTCTCGAACCGTTAATTTTGTGCCTCTTGGCTTTTTTTTCTGTTCGTAACGTCATACAGTATATACAGGAAGTACGACGTCTTGCGTCACCTACTTCGCACCCCTCTTGTTTAGAAGCGCATCCTGACTCTCTTCCTCTTCGCCAGGCGCAGCCTCCACATCGTGACTACCAGCTCCATGCTTCAAGCTGTCCATGGGATTGTCCTGCCTAGCATGCTTTGCGTACTGATCGTGGCCCTTGGCTCTTGGGTCGAAGCCCGCGTCATCAAGGTTCTTCTTCTCAATACTTGACGGTAGCTGGTCACCAGTACCAGTCATGACTTCGCCTGTTTGTCCGCGGTCGTTGACACTGCGCGGTATGTCGAAAGCGTTATCTGCTGCGTGTGCGAGGTTCGTGTGAGTTTGATCTGGGTGGTCAGAGGGTGAAACCTGAATCTTGGTTAGTTATATTGTACTTCACAAAAGCATATCATACCCGGATCCGACGTCGAAACTTACCACGTTCATCTTGCCAGCATCGCCAGGAATGGTCGTGCCCTCTGCAGCCATGTCTTCTAGACGGCCTCCTTGGTGCGGGTCTGGTGCCATGATTTCTGATCTGGATATGATTGAAAGAACTGATTTGGAATTTGTTGATGCTGAAAAACTTGGATTGTTCAGATGGTCAAATGAAGCTATGTGTTAGCAAGAGAGTATTTCCAGCAAGCACGCGAGCTCTCATTATGTAGCCCCGGCATTATGTGCCTGAGCACCAGTGGGCCATCTGTCGTCATAATGATGGTGATGTCAGAACACCATCTTGGTGTGAAGGAATTGTGCTGTGAGGACCGACTTTCCGATCGAGTACCTGGAGGGGCAAGATGCGCCAAGGAGCTCACGTGCGGAACGCGCCGCGTGTGGGGTTCTTTCCTACACGCGACTTGAACTCGTAAATCTACAGACTGTAAACAAACAACAAACCCCGCAACTCCAGACTTGTCTTATCCCAAGGAAACTCAGTCCTACACAGTACACCGACGATGCCAGCCGCCGAGCAAACCTCAGCCGACGCCCGCCGAAAGGCCGCTCGCGAAGTCATCGACATTCTTCATGAAATCGCAACACTGCTAGTATAAAACACCGCGCCTTACTGAAGCGCCCAACATCTGACATAAGCCCCAGAACACCCACCTGGATCGGCAACAACTGTCTTACTGCGTGTCGCTCATCGAGAACGGCGCGAACCCGGAGGCATTAGCGGTACGTAGCTTTGCGGCACAGCAAGGTGTGACAGCAGATCGCCTCGCGCGCGGCTCGCACTGTCGCTTTGGAGTTGAGGCTTTTCCGCCTGAGCACTAAATATACTGACTGTGCCACAGAAAGTCATATTGCAGCTACGCGAGGAATACCCAACGAGTTCAGTCGACGGTGACACAGAGGCCGGTGCAGCCGCGCGTTGAACCGATTAGACTCGGAGTCCGAAACTGCCCTTGTGCAGCCTTGCACGGCGGTTCGATGTGTCAGCTTGCAACTTCACATGCAAACCGACGAAAGAGCGAGAGAGGCAGGTCGACCAGTAGCGGCGGTGGTTCCTTCTTTCCCGTGAAGAGTCTGGAACGCTATCAGTACAGCATCCAACTTCCCTACAGATCGGCGTTGCTAAGCCATCGCCTACGGTTCCGCATGTACATACTTGGCATGCATCATGCAACATTGACGGAAAGCCTGGAAAGCCTAATCTCCCCTTGTACATGGAGGGGCAGTAGCGAGCAACGCGGGGCAAATCTACCAGCGAACCGGAATCTGACGCCAAGGTGTTGATATCGAAGGTTTAATGCATCGTTATCAGTACATACGGCTTGTCTTCCCACACGTCTATGGATCAGGAAACATGTCGCGATAAGGGATTCCCGGCTTACAACCACAGAGTTTGAGGATGGTGTGCGGAACAGTCGGGTATGCGGCCGTATCAGTGAATATTAATCTATGAGCTTCAGGCGGGATGCAAGCCATCATGTCACCGGAGTTGGCCGCTATGCAACTAGAACTGCTAGACACTGTCATTGTGATCTACCAATAAGACTACTCTGTAATCGTCTATTATGACTCTGATGATCTGTATGATGACGATAACGACAAGAACTCGATACCGAAATGGTAACATGGAAAAGCAAGTACGGAAAGCTTGATGCTAGCAACGATAACGATCGTTTGGGGTATCATCAACGAGAGGAATGGGTATCATCCAGTAGAAAACTCGTCGCCGCGCCAAAATGAAAGCAAAACACCACCCCATCTGCTGCCCTGAAATAGAAAAGTGTGGTATATGTCTACCTGCTGCCCCAAGTGGGCGAGCTCTGACGCTGGCGGAAGTTGCCCTTCGCGTCTGCAACCTTTTGTAGAGCCTTCTCGGCCTTGGCGTCTTGCTTGTTGAGGTAACCGTTGAAGATGGCAGGAAGGATACGCTTAGAGTCTGATGTTCTGTTAGTGATGACCTGCGGATATGAGTAGACGTGAACTTACTGGCATGGTCGGCATCAAAGACAATGCCATCTGCGCCTCGCTCTCCTGCCACCTTGACAGCCTCCTCCAACAAGCCCTCACCGACACCCTTGCCGCGATACTTCAACTTTACAGTCCAAGCGCGCACAACGGCCTTGCCTCGCCTTCTCCTGCCACGCTTCTTCGCGGCATCATTATCGGCCCAACCCAATACCAAGGATCCGATGACGTCCTCACCCCACTTCACCACGATGAGCCTGTCATCGCCCAGCCAATCCATGTTGATGTCCTCGGCCATACCGATGTAGCCACCGGTCATCCATCGAATGAAGATGAGGAAAGTCATTGTGATGCCTCCAATGGTTGTGGCCAACATCGTTTTGTCCTCGTACCAGCGTAGCATGTACTGCGCAGCAAAAGCAACAACTACAAAGTACGCGGCTAGTGAAACAGGATGGAACAGCATGACCTTGCTGGCGACCTGGCGCTGTTGTGCCACGGAATCTGCGACCAAGCGTAAGCCTTCGATTCGGTCCTCCTCTGTCTCAGCAGTGTAGGTAGAGAGTTGCGGCAGTTCATCCGTAGGCGACTTGGCCGGCGCGTCCGGTTCGGTCGACGACATGGCTTGGGATTCGGCAGGCGAGGGGTACGGATTGTACTGTGCAGGCAGTGTTGAGTAGGACAGCGATGTGGAGGGAAGTTCTTGGACGAAGTTGTTTAATCGAAACGAGGTGGGTGTGGGTAACGGCGATGGGAGGTCAGGATCAATTCTGAGGTTTGCGCTCAGCGACGTCAAGAATGCTGTTGTTGCGCGTTAGCTCGTATTCGTACCCAAAGATCTCGCGCGTCCAAGTCGCTGCATGGTTGACATCACAACCCCAGTCGCGGCAACCGAGCACACGACCATCCCCAAGAAAATCAAATAGAGCCGAACATACCAGCGCTTGTTCTAAATCCTGGTAAAGACGGTATCGCAGGTATCGCCTTTTCAAAACCCGAGTAATGGTTCACGACAACTGTATCCTGACCCAGAAAGTGTTGTTGTCTTGGAAACGCATGCGGGCCCGGCGGAACCTTGAGATGACTTGGGGGAAGTTGGCGACGCATCCTTCTTATAGTATAATCCGAGGCTCAATGCTTTCCGAAATTCGATTACATATACAAGCGTATGTCAAACACGTGGGCGGACCAGCCAGGAAAGGGAAGACAGAGTAATTAAATGAAGTAAGGTGCAAAGT